AAATCAACCAAATTATGTCAGTTTATCTAGTTTCTCCTGCCGCGAATCCACCATGTCAAATGCTACTAACGTTACACTTTGTCCACACGTAAGTACACAAGTTGATCCAACGGAGTACACCGTTCTAGGTCACGTGATGTTTATTGGTGTAAAAATACTACTTGCATGACAGTTTGTATATCTGAATCCTAAGAGCATAATACAGTTCCAAGAGTACATTGCATTTGAATACTTGAACTTGGTGTAAGTAATGCAGTTATCTGCGGCAACTACATTTGCTAACCATCATTCATCACAGATTGCCACTGCACCGAAACATCAGAGGGATTGTTTGGTGGTCACGTGTTTTTACAGTAAATGTCCTGAGACTCGCCTTAGTGGTGACGTGAACCTATCAAGTTATAGGGTGGCTAAAACATCTGTTTGCTAGATTTGGGTTCGCTATAGAAAATGTGATAGATAATGGACCACAATTTACAAATTACAGATTGCGTCAGTTGTTAAAAGTCCGCCATATAAGACATGTACGAACTGTTCCGTACAACTCTGTGACCAGCGGTATGATTGAACACAGAAACCTCTCGTTAAAGGGAGGTATACATGCGCACGTTTGTCCGGTATGCAATGGGAAGATGCAGTGACCTAGTCTCTGGTTCCACATGGAACGTCTCATCACATAGCTACCGATCGCACGCCAGGGTAGCTCATGTTTGGCATGATATTGAGGACGAAATTGAACGCAGCTGTATCGACCCCCGGAAACTACGATCCACACCAGCTTGAGCGTTGCCGACGGTATCAGCCCACCTATAGAAAGTGGGTCTTACCACTGCGCCCTGGGACGTCCTTCAGGTTACGAGAAAGGAAAGCACGAAAGGGGCAACCGATATTAGCTCGCCTCGTCAGTATTGCTCGGACGTTGGGACCAGGAATGTAGCAGCTTGTAGATGGCAGAGAAGTTAACGTCAGACAATTGTACACATCACTGAAATTTAATGCAGTGTCAACGGCTCGAAAAGATATCAAAGAAGTGTACTCAACCCTTCAACTTAATCAGGTGACTTGTTCTTTAGTTAAAGCGGAGGATAGTGACGTATACGCTCAGTCTTGAGAATCCGCACGTGATGCGTGCAAGTGCGCGCGTGCATTGGCTATAACGTATTGACCGAATACATACCCGTTGAATGCTGATGATCAATATGCTTGTTTGTTTCCTTCACCAAACCATCCGAGTGAATACACGGTTCGTAACGGTTGGTCCGCTCTGTTGTGTTTTAGCTTTCGACCTGGTACGCTTACAGGGATACAACACTCCCCAAGGACATTAGAATCGTTTTCTTTCACGTATCAATTGCAGATCAAGTTCTAGGGGTTCCTTGCCTTTTAAGTATGATCCAATTGCTTCGGAAGGACCGGCCAGAACGCCAGCTTTCGTTCCCCTTCAAATCGCCAGTTGAGAACACGAGCACATTCAGCGACTACCACCAAGCGTATCGCCAGGAAACCCGTAATTATTGAGAATCAAGTCGCTTATGAAAAAGCGACGCGAAGGATGCATGGAAGAACTAACTGCTACAATCCATGGACGAATTGTTGCTTCGGTAGGTACTTACGACGCCAGAATCTCACAACTGGATAAGCAACCCCGAGAGAATTTTCCCCACATTCTACACCAGAGAATCCAACTTCAGACAGGCGTGCTGTCTAGAAAGTCTGTGTGACCCGTTGGGCGAGCACCTCCAAACGCAACCGAGCTCCACTGCCAGGGAGCTTGTGGACAGAATGAATCACGCTCTTACGTCTTACAGTCTTGTACAGTAACCGACGATGCTCGCTGTAAGAGGTAAAACGACATCGTGCAGAAACTAACCAACACCCTTCGTCACAAAGGCGCCCTAATCATCCCGGAGCCCCTTCATCCCAACAGCATCAACGTACATCAATCCGGAGTTCATCGCCATTAACAACTCCACAGCACATGTAATCGACGCGGCAATATGAGAAACCTACAGAATGACCTTAACTACCAAATAAAACTTGACGCCGTAAGTGCTCATGCGGAATCCATGTCCCGCTTTGTACGCACGAAATCTCCTACACATAAAATCGCATGCATCATCCGATAAGTCTAAACAATCGGTCATATATTCTCAGCCTCCGCAAAGCATCATTCAGTACTGGGCCTAACCAAACATAACATATCCGACTTGTGTGTGTCTACCATGAACGGATCCCTTTACCGATACTCCATGCAATCGAACAGACTTCCATCTGCGATACGTGGAATCCAGTCAGAAATAAAGTTCCGACAGGCTGTACATTTGTTTCTAATCATAGAAACAGGCGTTGGTTTACTGCGACCTATAATGACAAATTAATCTCCGTACGGAATTGATGCAAGATGGATATAGCCTCAACATCTGGGTACTTTTTCTTTCTGTTGTTGCCAGACCCTGCTACCCTCCCCGTGTCTATCAGTAGCTAAAAGTTGTTTTTAAAGGAAAAGATATCCTGATGTCCATGAAGTTTACGCTTATCAAAGCGGAGACGTCCTAGAGTTCCTCTCTAGCATACTGCTTCATATTCGTTCTACAATACTAATCATTTTCTACTTTTCCTGGAGCCCACCACTTAGGCACGTGCTGCAGCTCTCCGTGCTCCGTGAAAAGTATGTAGAGATATTATCTCCGCTTTTGACTGGATGCATCTGAGGACCCTATCGGAAAACCTACCAGCAGCATCCATGTTTACGATCACTCTGAATGCTTAGCTCCTTCAAAAGCAACTTCTCATATCGTAAGCAGCTAAACTGTTGGAACGACAGTGAATTTGCTCTACACTGCATACAGTTTTCTCTCCCTCCCTGGAGAAAATATTTTGTGCATCTACGACATTTCTCAGGACCATAAAAATTGATTTCACATCACCAACCTCTCAAATTTGATCTCCTACAACTGTTGGAGCCCTCAATTATTTCCTCTGAATATTCTCTTTAAAAATACATGCACATTTCTGAGGGTTTATGTCTCCAGTGATAATTTATACAATCTGTAACGGACAACTTTGAACAGAAGCCCATCATATTCTCATTACTGTTCCTTCATCCCTTTCCTGTTTGTCTATTTCTCTCATGCCACTGTTGGCCACGACTGAGCCGATCTCCCGTGGTGAAGGACAAATGCTTCCGAAAAGGCAGTACACTTATGAAATGCGAGTTGTTACAAACTCACTGCTGAATGTTAAATGTGTTAACCTCGAATTAGCCAAACGAAGGTTGTATGATGGGGACAGCTTAACATATTACACCGGCCCCCACATAAATTTATACATATTTATGTATAACATGTCACCATAATGATGATAAAATTGCAGATGACAACAGCGAACAAGAAAAAACCAGTAGAAAAATACATTGGCTACTTGCATTAAGCGAAAACAGCACATGGCCAGATGAGATGTGTAAGTGAATTGTGGAAGCAGCTCTCCGGGAAACGGCGCAATGAAGGGTCGTATTACTTTAATTGAACTGACGGCTATAGCTACTTTTATTCTTTCTCTCAACTTTTCCATATTTTACTACTTTTAAATGATTGAGCACTTCGAACACGTTAATGAGAACATAATAGACCTTGAAAAATCCCTCCAGTATCCAACTATGTTGTACCAATTCACCGGGTTGGTATTTCGCCTGTGTCTCGCACGTCGAGAAATATATCGTTTGTTCGTATGTTTGACACCCATATACGGGCGCAATGTCAAAATATAGCACACTGACAGCGTAAACACACATTCACAAGCGATTCCGACCATTCCTTTGCGTATTGTATTATTACTGTTTCAATAGTACACCAGGACGTTTGTCAAATTTCGGCGAATTTATGTAATACCTAGTTCTTGGGCTATGCATGAATTTGACGAAAAGATATGTTCATGGTCTGCAATTCTTGTTGAAGCGAAACGGCCAATTCGATCACTTGGACCGTAACTGATGAAGTAGATAGGTTGTGTCCCAGTGGTCCTCTGTCACTCAATGGGCTTTGGCCTATGTAATGTGGGTGGGTGGCCGGACCAATGCAACACGATTATTGAAACATTGTTAGCTGTTATAACTTCAGCAAACACATTCTGGATTTATTGGCTTGCAGCTGCAGTTTGTTATTAAACAAAGGTGGATAAGGCGACTGGAGGATATTCCGGTCACATTTTGTTTACGCGAATGAAACATCACTGCACAGGCAGTCTGCGGTTGTGCAAGCCGTTCTCTTGATCAAGTGTGTCGATCACCTCCATCACAGCCGGTCACCAAGTTCGACCTGTCACTCTACGGACATTCGCGTACTTTCTGTGATGTGTGATCAAGCCTATACAGCTGCATGAATATTGGAACACTGTGGGTTGTCATGACTCCACCAAAGCCAGTTTAGCATTATTAGCCTTGTGCTGCACGAATCGGCTAAAATGAGCGACGATGAAATGCATCTCCGTGGTGACAACGGTACAAGAGGACATTATCGGCACAGAAAGAGCTCCTCACGAAGCTTGTGTTCGCGGACGGCGAAATCACCCACGATGCTGCTGAAGTTGCTGGTGTCAACAAGGTCGCGGTAAGAAACATAAACATTGCTTACAGGAGAGAATGAATGAACGCTCAGCGCAAAGATGGAGGAAACAACAGGGCGAGACTGACACCCTGATGAACTGCAGCGCGTTGGAGAAGCCAATGAACAGCATTCTGAAGGCACTTTGGTGCAGCTGCAGTAGCAGCTGTCTTCAACACTCTCAGGACGCTAAAGATAATGGTCGAAATTGCCACTACGAGCTAGACCGTGTCAAACGTGCCACGACACTCGCACGCCGGCAAGCCTACGGTCTTTACTTCTCGGCACACGTACCGAATGACAAGGGGAAATGTATCTTCATGGAAGTGAGCTGGTTCAGTCTTCATCTGCAGCGAATCGTGGCTCGCTCAAGAATAGGGACACGAGCGTACGTCATCTAGCATGGTGACACTGATTTTGGCAGTAAATAACCAAGGCATCGTCCACTCAAAGATCGTCGGTGATGGTACCTGCAATGGTGCAGGGTTATTAGTGTTCGTTGAGGAAGTTGCGGAGCGTACACGCTCCAGAGTGGAGGTGGTTGTTCATGGACAACGCAAAGATGCACATGCTGAATGTTCCAAGGATGATACTGGGCTCATATTATTAGCTGAACTGCTAGTCGCCCTACACGTACAGGTTAAACACAACAGCACAGGTGATTTCGAATGTGAAAGCAACGGGGAGACGCGCGCTGACCAACCCGATGCCTAACCAGATATGAAATGCGGTCATTCGAGAGAGCATTGGAATGCTAACGAAGCAGGACTGCACGAAATGTGTCCTCATTATGAGCCTGGAAAACGCAGCAGCCCGGCAGCCCATCATTAACTGACCGTGTTTAAGGATACTGCTCCATTTTTGTTAATACACCACTTTTTTCTTAAAATGGACGTCTTGTAAATCAAACGGCGGAATTTAGCATATGGAAGAGGACGCGTACCAAGAGGTATGTAAACCTGGAAAGCACATGAAGCAGTGTTATTGGACAGTGGTTGGTAGGGTCAGTGTGACTACCTACTATGTGAATAGCAGTGATGACCCCTCGCTTCAATCCTGGTGGAATTTTGTTCTTCTCTAGACATCGCAAATAGAGAACTGCCAATGGTAATGCTAAATCACTGGCTACTACCTCCAGACACTTCGGTCGAGTAGACAATGTAACACGGAGCAAGCAACTTACCAATACAATTCTGTCACTGTGTAGCTCCGAACGGAAACAATGCCAAAACACACTGACAGCTGAAGGAGGACAGGATTGTCACCCTCTTGTCGGCACTGAGAGCTCTATACAACAAACTGAACTGGCCCTAGGGCCCGCGTCATCGGTCCTACAAAACAACAACCGGTATCCGACCACGCAAGAGCCGGCATAGACCCTCACCGGTAACCAGCATTCACAAACACGTTTCTGACCACCGATACCCTCACCAGCTTGTATACCAGTGCACAAGGTCTTCTCAGCAAGCTAACGGAACTTCATATTCGTCAGGTCTCCACGCCTTGGGCCCTAGTTATAGTCACCGAAACAGGGCTGAACACGAGATCACGGATGCTGCGATTGCACTACACAGCATGACATCCATCCGAAACGATCGACCTAGCAGAGGAGGAAGAGTGCTCCTGTATTATCGATCCGACCTACATGTTGCTGTCATTGAGGACGCAGTAAGGAAAGTCGTCTATTCGCTTTCGTGGCCTATTCACCTAATACGCGGTGTTGTGTGTTTACTAAACAGATTTTACCGCCTTCCAATGTCCACCTTGGGAATGGATCAGTGCCTGGCTTCTGCGATGAAACGAGTCCTAGCACGATCAAACAGTCGCATTATTCTAGTGGGAGACTTCATCTTGCACGGAATCGAAGTTCCAGTATCGGATAACGAATAATTCAAGGCGGATTTGCAAGAGGTATTCGCCGATGTACCTTTGTACAACCATGTCACCACTCCCACACGATTATGAAAGGGTGACACACCCTCCGTCTTGGACCTTTTGCTCTCCAACAAGGAACTAATGGTCGACACCGTGACCATAGATGCACCACTTGACCGTAGCGATCACGCGATGTCGCTCTTTCGTTACATCTGTTACTCGGAATACATCAGCGAGGACAACGTGAAGACTTATATCGTTGCACATTACGATATATTGTACAACTTCGTTCAAGAAACCGACTGGTCCTTCCTGGCCCAGTAGACGCCCGAGGTCGCCTGGATGTTGTTCGTCACCCAACTCACTGAGCTAGTGACAAATGCGTCAGAAAGCAAGGTACTTCGCCCGAAACAAGTGAATTCGTTCCTGAGGAGCCGTACTAGAAAATACATGCCTTAAGGGATTCAGCCTGGCGCGCTTACAAAGCCTGTCCAAGTAACCTGACCTGGGGTGCTTACACAACCCAACGAAACGACTGCGTCAAGTTGATCCGCGAAGACAAACTCCAGCACCAACAGAACTTAGCGGCGAAATTCAGCACAAATCCCAAGTTGCTGTATAGACACGTCAACAAACTGCACAGAGTGCAGCGCGGGATTCCGGTTTTATGTGAAACAGATGGTCTTGCGCAAACCGCACAAGATGCAGCCAACGTGCTTCGCCCAAACGTCATCCATATTTCCGGACTGAATCATCATTTCATCCGCCTTTTTCACAGCTCCCATCGTCACCCGGGTTAAACCACGTATCGTTCAATCAGCCAATGTGATGAAAACGTTAACATCGTTGTGAGTGCACAGTTCACCTGATGTGGACGACATCAAATCGAAGGCCTTGAACACAGCGGCCGTAAACATTGCCGAACCATTATCTCGGTTCTTCCAACGTTGTCTCGACGAAATTTAGGTCCGGACCATGTGGAAACATGGACTAGTCACTCCTATTTACAAAAATGGTAATTGTTCGGGCCCTCGAACTACCGTCCAATCAAT